CTACTAAAGGGGAATAATCACGTTTAGAATACAAGAATAAGACTTTCTGTTAGGAACAGTTTGGGAATGTGTCCGGATCATGTGTGTGAGCTCTGCATCTGACAGCTTAGGTGGAGCACAGGGTTCATGAAGAAGGTTGCTGCAAACTATCCATACATTTTCCTCCACTTATGGAAGTCAGGAATGTGGTAATTTGAGATTAAACATCACTGATATCATTTATCTACACTTGATAAATGTAAAATGTCTCATTTAGACACTAAATTATAAAATATATATATTGACAAACAAAGGCTTAATCTGGGGTTTTATTATTCTGGAGTGCCTCCACCCCCGTGTACAGTGTTGGTGTTTATGGCTGTAGTGTGTACAGTATAATATTCTCACCGTGGGGAATTGAATCCACTGTCAACAGTGACCGAGCTGGAGTCCATACTGTCCAGCCGAGCAGAATGAGCTGACTGCTGGTTCTGACTGGGCTCCGGAAGGTTCTCTTTGACACCTGGGAAGGCAAGCGTTCTTTCAAACCTCCTCTGCAGATCCCTCTCTTTCTCTCTTTCCAGCAGCCATTGCATGGTTCCTGCTCCACCTCCTCCCATGACAGCAATGCTTCCTCCAGGCTTGTCATCCTCTCCTTGACTTTTCGCGCCTCCGTCTTCAAGTTCATCATCATCTGAAACATTGTAGTAGTCAAAGTTTGCATCTGCAGCACCGGATGTGGGTTCAGTCCCTTGTGATGGAGCAGATGATGTTGCCAGCAGAGGCTTAGGAGCATCGAAGGCTTCTTGGGAATCAAGAGCATCGCAGGATGATGACAGATTTGAGGAGGCATGGGCTGTGGGTTTTCTCAGAGAGCTGTAACCTGGCAAAGGCAGGCTAGGCGGAGGTTTGAAGAGCGTATCTTTACTAAAGATCTCCTTTCGTTTCTCCTGATTGGAAGAGGTGCCGTGGGCAGGTCGTCCATTAGAAAGAGGGAGGTCAGGGATAGAGAGGGGTATTGGTGGCAAGCTGCTGCCCTTAGGTCCCACCTTTGTTAAGTCCTCCCTATTTTCTGGTGGATGGGATGTCTGTCTATCAGTCTGCCTGTCAATACTACCTAGTTTTAATCCATCGTGGCTGTTTTTGCCCAGAGTTCCCAGAGGAGCTGTTGATGTGAGAATAGCCTCAGAGGATCCAGGGCATTGGAAGTAATCATCAGGAGAGGCAGAGTTAGGCAGTGGTTTTGGTGAATATGCTGGGAGGCTATCCCTGCTCTTACTCTTCTCCAAGTTCCTGCTCCCATCCAATCTCAGGGAATCCCCAGGCACCTTAGTTGAAGTGGGTGTGGCACGAGAGTAGTGAGAAGAGTTCTGATTGGCTCGCAGGGTGCCATCATCAGTATAGTAACGGCTCCGGTCATCATAATAATCGGGTGGTCCAATCAGTCCAGCTCCAAGCGGACCTTTAGAGTTGTCCATTGATCGGGAACGTTCCTTGGCCTTGTCACTGCGTTCATTTCTGGATTTCCTCTCCTGGGTGTGGGAGTGCGAGCGGTGGACCTTAGAATGGTGGGCTGATTTGCCGTGACTTGGCTCAGGGAAAGGCATTTCTGTGCGTCGCTTGGCAAGTTCTCCGGACACGTCCCACTCTGGAGTAACGGGCAGGTGTGAGGAGTCAAGGATGTTAGGGTTGCTGTGTGCCAGGTGGAGTCGGGCCCTCTGCCGCTCCATGGCCACCGCCTGTTCCCTTGGTGACCGAGCCAGTGAGCATGAGTAACCTCTATAGTCCCTTTCGGCCAACTCTAAATGCGAACTGTCACTTGGCTCACAGCGAGTAGTCCTTGTCTTACTATGCGAGCGGCTAAGTTTGGTCTGGGACGGCTTTCTGTGTCTGCCCCCACTTCTTCTACTTCTGGAGCTGTGATTGGCCGACGATGCTTTGCTCCTCTGAGCACGCTCTTCTTCAAGACGCTTCATGACTGCTGTGTGTCGAGCAAGATTCTCCACCGTGAGGTCAGGATTGATTCTACGGATGATCTCCATCTCTACGTGGCGTGGCAGCTGGCTGGGTACGTCCTCATCCCGTAGCGGCCATTCCTCGGGGGGGAACTGTGCAGAGAAGGT